CCCATTCAGGAAACTATCACGAACACCCATTCAGTCCCCTTACATGAAAAAAAAAAAAAAAATTATATTAAGACCTCGTTCCGGAAACCTTCTTTTTCTTTTTCTTCGCGTTCACCAGCTGTGAACTGTGGCAGCAAGTTCCGGTTGTTCATCAAACTTCTGAACTGCAGTCACCTTCCATAACATGAGTTTTGCATGTTATCCGTTTTACAGATCTGAATCAATTGTATGCAGACGGCTGATTCCTTGCCTCTTAGGTAGATGCACTCCGACTTTGAATGAAGCTCCTAATTAGTCGACTCTTACGAAATGCTTTTGGATAGGCAGTGGATCTATTCTTGTTCCCCGGAATTTGAAATTTAGAACGCTGCTCACAGACAGACAACTTCAGAATATTGCTCGTGTGGACAGACAACTTCAGAATGTTGCTCGTATGGACAGACAGCACAGCATACTGAACATGTGTTACACACATGCTTTATCCATGCAGTTAGAAGACCCTAAGTTTGGCTGGCTGGCATTCTATTAAGCACCAACATTTTAACAAGATTATCATTTTTAATATTCCTAAAGTCGTAAATGGCATGCATCTGATTTAACATGTTTGGTAACGGTGCACTCTAGGACGAAAATCGTCAACATGAAAAAAAAGGCAAAATGTCTATTCAACATAAATAGTACAAAGTATACACGGCGACATTTGTGAACAGACATATTTAACCCTTTTCTTATTCGCATTTTTCTAATGAGTTTTTTAGAACACAAAACTATAAATATGTCAGAGACAAAATATACAAATGTGCCGGACATCAGGAGCCTCTTTTGGCAGTGTTGAGACGTCGCCAGCTAGCTTGGACACGAGATGGGACATGATTCGATTGCAAAGGCTGTACTTCAAGGAACTTTGGGGGATAGTCGAAGAAGAGGAGGGCAAAGAAGGATCTGTAATGACAACATTAAGAAATGGACAGGACTAAGTTACCAAACACTTATTCATCAAATGGAAGGCAGAAAGTTGGCCTGTTTTATGTGTTAGTCCTTCCATCAATACACCTCCATGACCTTATGGGTCAAGGGTTGTGTTATCTTAAGTAGTATCTGACAAAAAACAGAGGAAACAAGCTTACCGGCCTGCAGTCAATACCCTGGTCACAGAAAAGGCGGGCTATTGCTACTAATAACTGCAATGGCCCCAGTGAAGCCTTCATGTTGAAATCTCTGTGGTGAATATGCGATTTATTGTTACGTCGAAGGATCTAAACAAAAGTTTACTATTCAATTGGCTGGCTACGTAATTAATGTAAAAGTCGATAATTAGGTCCAGGCAACTTATGGGACTTTTCGCCTACGCACACACACACACACACACACACACACACACACGCGCGCGCGCGCAAGCACACACACAAATACACACACATTCACCTTTCCATATGCCGACTAATTTGTCCATGACACTTCAACTCCTATATAGAAGATAGATGGGCTGAATGTTTAAATAGTTTGGCTTTTAACCAGTTTTGCTGACTCATTTTGCCAGTATTGAAGCGGAAGTACCGTAAACAGTTCTGTCGTCCAAGTACTGAATTGAGGGCATGGCAGGAAACAGTGTGGCTGCTGATTTCATTGTAAAATTCTTTACTACTGAGGCCCAGGTGGTTTGGATTGTAAACTGCAGATTCAGAAAATTGCTAGTGGTCGGGTATTACAGAACTGTTGGTGCGATATTGCCTGCGCAGTTATCGATCTGTTGTAACTGCTACGTCAATCGATGAAGAAAAACGATCCTAGTTGCGGCATGGATGTGCAGGCACTTTTGATAGCGGCCATGTGCATTTTATGCGGGCTTATGCTATCGACTTCAAGGAGACGACAGTCAAATTCAGTGTTTCCCAAACTTGTCTTGGTAGCGGTGCCCTAACCTAAGTAAAAGTATGACAATTCGTGTCTTTGTAAAAATAATTATGAAGCTTTAACACTATTTCGTGGCGCCCCTGTGAATAGATTGCGGCTCCCGTGGCGTCGCAGAGCACAGTTTTGGAATCACTGGTCTATTACAACTTGTGATTACCCATAGGAGAGTTATGGACATTTAGTGTGGTTTTCGATAGCAATTATGTGGTGAGTGATCCATTTGTGGTGAAACTGGAGCTGGGATTACCTGATTAAATGATATGTATGATTAATATTCACACGCTTTCCTACAAATGCTTTATGGCGGTGCAACTTAGGCAAACTCATTCTCACCAGGAGAAACAATTAAATAGCTCGTATATGCAATGTCTAAGAAGAATAGTTGGCATTAGGTGGCATGACAAGATCATAAATACTGCAGTATTGAAAAGAGCAGTTACTAAAACAGTCTTCTTAATGCTCAGACTAAGAAGTCTTAGATGGATGGGTCCCACCTGGATAATTGAGGATTGCAGATTAGCTCAGGACACCTTCTATGGTGACTTCGCATTTTTTCTAGAGAGTCCACCTGAATAAATGTATCATTCATGTCCCGCTTGCACAGGTCTTTATATCCTAGTAGAGGTCGGCCTCGACATTGTCTACCCGTCATGGATCGCATTATGGGGAGAGGGCACATCAGGACTGTTAATGACAGAAGAAATGATTGCGGAAAGGATGATAGCTAAGCGTCTTAGAACAGAGTAAACACAAATGTTAACACCACTGGTCCGGAAATTCCATGCTATTACCGTGGAAGACTTTTCCTAACGCGTGCTCTATTTTAACACTATATTGGCAAAAATTACTCCAGAGGTGCTTTAGCTCATCTCCTTAGGTAAGAATGACAAGAAGGTATGGTATTAGTATAAATATTGCAAAGGTAATAATGATGGGATTACTGCAGAGTCTTGCTAGGAAGGCACGGGTATAGCCTAAGTTTAAATACATGTGTTGAACATGCTTCAGTCTTTATTTACCTCTACACATTTATTTTTTAATCCTGCACGTCTAACTACATAATTATTTATTTAAAAAAAAAAAAACTGATGTGGAAAAACAAAAACATTTAAAAAATCCAAATGCTTAAGATTCTAACAGCAACGTGCCGGCAAGCGTTCACATGAGGCCGCAAGACACGCTATATAAAAGCTGAGGAGACTAAACAGATTGCTGTGAAAAAAAAAGGGGGGGGGGTGGGTGGGAGTGAAGATGAGATATTTACCTTGATATCTTGTTGATATCTTGGCCCATGAATAGACTTTAGCAGTAAGGTCGAACATGTCAACGGAAATTTCCGTTTTCGTAGGCCGGTCTACTCCCATCTGTGCTTACCATAGTTATGGAGTAGATTTATACACAAATTAAACTACAGTTTAATTACCTTTCATCATTTTTTTTTTGGGTGGGGGGGGGGGGGGGGGTAATGAATTATCACTATGAAGATAAATAAGTAAGCTATATTTTCTTAATCATAACATTTTTATTATACTTTTATAATAGCTTACTTATTTATCTTCATAATGATGATTGATTCAGTAGGTCAGGCTCTGTAACCATGTCTTTCTTGGTCTTTATCTTCTCTTATTTTCCTCTACTGAGCCCTGCTGTATTGCATTTAATAGGCAATTAGATTAATTACATGTCTATACAATTGAATTTTTTAGTAGTTAAAAGAGGTTCCTAGGAGCCAATGTTAAAATAAAAAAAAAAAAAAAAAAGTTACGCTAAGAAATTTAAAAAAAAATGGGATAAGGTGGAAAGCAACAGAGCAAAAATTGGGCAATTATACACGTGGGAGGACAAGATAAAGAGATAGACGAACAGCTGTCTGAGTGTACACAACCAAGGCAAGAGATGTTGGAGATGCATTTCGGCCAACTGTCACTGTGGAGACGGCACTGGCTTATTGGCTGAAACCAGAAAACAATTTGCCAGTCAGCGTGTCATATTTTGAATTATGGGCACATTGTAAACGAGGAAGATGTATTTCGAATCACTTAACTTCAGTCAACCGTAGAATATTGAGATTTGTTAAAGCGACTGCTATAAACCGACTGAGTCCAGAATTATGCAGAAAAAGTACAAACCCTTCACGTTTCGTTTTTCCTGGTGAGACAGGCAGTTTTTGAATATAGTCGATTTTGTGTTTCAGTTTAAAGGTCTCATTTTTATTGCTTTATTTTAATCACTTCTTACTGTAGTATGCACCGGACGAGATACAGTGACATATGCCAGGCAATATATTATGCAATCTAGTGTTTGTCTGAATCACTATATTTTTATTATTATTATTATTATTAATATTATTATTGTTACTAATACTATCATTAGTATTGTGATTGTGTTTGTTATATTTTTTTTACTTCATCTTTATTATCATCATTGAGTATAAACCCTTTGGGGCCCTACCTTTTGTCAATTAAAACGGATTGAACAGCTTCGCCCCCCCCCCCCTCTAAACACTCCCCCACCTGAATTATTCCATTGGTGCAGCGCCCTTGCAGAGAGATACTTATCCAAATATTTGGCATAAGGAAGACAGATTGCAGACTTAATTCGGAATCAACTAGAGTGTGAGATAGCGAGCTATAATTAACTCACTTATGGGTATAGCACATGATGATATGCCCATCGTCCCTTGAAATACTTGTATAAATACGTACTCGGGCTCTCCGTTTGGTCTATGAAATATAGGTTTAGCCTTATGAGCCCAATACGCCTGAAGACGAGGAAAGAGTCCTTTCTTTTTTTTTTTATCCTCACATATACAGCCTTTCCTCATTTGGAGGCAGCAGATTTGAAATCCGTGGAATTAAGCTGTAAAATCTCAACTGTGCAGTCTGAAAATCAATATGCGTTAATGTATATAGGGTAATTAAATGCGTATGTAAAACGATTGCACGTAACTGTAAAAAGAAAAAGTAGGACCATAAACTTTGTGATCGTATTTACTGATTACACAATCACTTTTCACCGCATGTTTACTAAAAATATAATACGCATGAGGTGTGTTGCTACTTCAGTATTCTACACAACGTTTCAGTATGGCGTCTACAGTTCGAGTCTTGTTCACAGTGTTAACGGTTGGCCTCGGATGTTACCGCTGCGGTGACTGCAGGCCGGTAAGATTGTTTTATCTGTTGTAGGTCATTCAGCTAGGGGCAGTGGTGGTGTAGTTTCAGGCGATATAGAACCAGGGCAGTGCTGATACATGCAGGTATCGGCTGTAAAGACCGCTTACACTTCCCATTGCAAAAGAGAAATGCGTTATTCTACTTGTTATTAATGTTTACTATTTACTACAAACACGCCATTATTCTTTACGTCTCGTCGAGCTTGCAAGTTTGACGAGACGTAAAAAAGAATGGCGTGTTTGTAGTAAATAGTAAACATTAAGGCTACGCTCTGATTAACGGGCACAAAAGATGGCGACCGCAAAATATCCTATTAACTTAGCGAAAAGAACGTTTACTGCATGTTTACGCTGCTCATGTACAAACTGTTACTTATAGAGCTACAGGTTACTAATACTATTACCCTAGCTTCGCACGTATGCTCTCAAAAGCGACGCGACGAAAAGGAAAAATTGCATAATGCTTCCTCAAATATGATAGTTACATGCTAATACCTATTTTTTTCTTCTAAACCGCTTACACGTGCACCTCGCCACTGAACCATAGATTGTGTGTACTGTACGACAAAATAGGTCCGTGGCTTAGGCATTGCGAGTCTGACACGTCATTCCAACCGCGATCAAAACCCACTGCTGACTGCGTGGATTTTTATCATGGTATGGGGCGTTGTAGGTCGACCCAGTTAGGATGACCAAATTACCCACATAGTGCAGATTGGTGGGTAAATATAGGGCTGCTCTTTCAAAATACCCAATGCGCCTAAAGGCGTGAAAAACGGATCTTTACTTTTACTTTTTAAATATAATATTTGGTAGCACTTGAAGAAAACAATGTTGTATATATTTTCGCGGAATTGTAATAATCCTTACCTGAAGGCAAGGTTGACGGGAAATTTCCTCGCCACTATATATAACAACAGTTAAAAGACAAAGAAGAAACCGGAAAGGCGAACCAGGTCATCAAATGCCCGTAAAAGTCCGATGTGTTGGCTGAATGACAGACATATTCCAGCCTTAATGTAAACGGGCATAAGGCAATTACATATTCTGATGAACGCAGAAGATTATGATGATTAAGAAAAAGAAGAAGAAGAAGAAGGAGAAGAAGAAGAAGAAGAAGAAGAAGAAGAAGAAGAAGAAGAAGAAGAAGAAGAAGAAGAAGAAGAAGAAGAAGAAGAAGAAGAAGAAGAAGAAGAAGAAGAAGAAGAAGAAAAAGAAGAAGAAGAAGAAGAAGAAGAAGAAGAAGAAGAAGAAGAAGAAGAAGAAGAAGAAGAAGAAGAAGAACAACAACAACAACAACAACAACAACAACAACAACAACAACAACATGAACAAGAACAAGAAGGACAAATAAAAGAAAAAGATGAAAAAGAGGATAAAGAAGAACAAGAAAAAAAAACAAGAAGAACAAGAAGAACAAATAAAACAAAAAGATGAAAAAGAAGATAAAGAAGAACAGAACAAGAAGAACAAGAACAAGAAGAACAACAAGAAGAAGAACAAAAAGAAGAACATGAAGAAGAAAAAAGGAGAAAGAGAAGAACAAGATTAGGAACAATGAAGAGGAGGGCGAGGACGAGGAAAGATGAGGAAGGATAATGTTGTCATTGCTTTCACGGCTTTTATTCCAGGATGGAGAAGCAGAAACATCTGTTGACAACATGCAAAGAGCCAGTTATGGTACAGATTGGTTTACGTTACGCAATGGTAAATATATAAGTAACTCAATTAACGTCAGTTTTACAGCTACCATTAATGCATTTTTATCTTTGTAATAGAGTGAAAGCAACTCCCAAAACCTATAAACTGCTACATAAGGGGGGGGGGGGGGGGGGGGGGGTTCAATTGATCTGCTGTGGAGCTCGTCAAGACTATCATCATTATCATTAAAACGTTTCGTTTCGCAATATAAGAGATCTATTTTGAGATTACTTATTTCTCTTTCCATGCGACATTGTCAGTTTGATGCTGTTTCCACTACGAAATGAACAGGCAGACAGACTGGCTGGCTCTGCACAACTTAGTAAGATAAGGATGTATGATCGGCAGAAGATGGTAGAATTGACAGAGAAATAGAAACCAGATGTTAGAAAGCAAGTGCACTTATATACCAATTGTCACCATTATTAAGACATCCAAGCATAACTATGAGTGCAAAGAGATAGATTATTAATAGTATATTTATTCCAACATTAGGCTACCAGTGCCAAACATGGACACTATCTAAAGCCCATGTACGCAAAATTACCACCTGCGAGATGAGGTGCCCAAAAAAAGCAGCCAACTTAACCATACGAGATCGAGTGAAAAATGAAACTATCAGGCAAATTGTGGGAACGACACCTTGTACTAGATTCATCGAGAAACAGCAGATCAAGTGGTTTGGCCATCTCGTAAGAATGCAGCAAGATCAAATACCATCACAAGCACTACATCTCAGAAGATCAGCTACAAGAGCAAGAGGACGACCACAGAAAATATGGATCAACAACATTAAAGACATTCTACGCCTTCATGGCATGATAATAGCCAGTGGCAGCCAACGTTCACTGGATCGCAAATTATTCCTCCCCACGGCGCTTACCTGCAGAAGTGGTTTATGGTGATGATGATGATGATGATGATGATGATGATGACGATGATGATGATGATCGGCCCTGTGGGAGAGCGTGTGCAGTTTGGACAAGGAGATGGATCACTACAGTCTGGTGAGATTTATGCAGGAGGGAGTGACGAGAGGTTCTGGCAGATGCTCGAGGCTCAGCGGAAAGGCAAAACAGTCGTTTAACTAGATTGGAACTGACACCATTAGTACGGGAACTCTTCACAGGCTGCTGAAGATATTGACGAAGCGCTTATGGGAATGCCCCAAGTGCTGTGATGTTAGTTCTTTAAACAAATCAAATCATCAGGAAGGGAAAGGAAATAAAGAAAGAAATGAGTGCAAAAAGGATAACAGCTTATCATCTGAGAAGAAACACACTACAATAGATGTTAAGAACAATGGTCCTGAAATTTCATGTTATAATAGTGGTAGACTTTTCTTAACGCGGGCTGGTCTTGCTAGTAACACTCGCCTTCGCTATAGGCTGTTAGTCACATACCTCTTCATAGGGCAATGTTACCCTGGCATCTGGACAGACGGAGAGCTGCCAATCATAATTTAGGTAAATACTAAGATGGTGGTATAGGTATTAGTATTATACTAAACGTTAAATATATGCTTTATTTTAATATTCTTATAAATAACTAAATATAAGTAAATTTACATTTTTAAATATCTCTATATTGGTAGAATATGTGATCAAAAATACTTCAGAGTTGCTTAAACTCTACATTTACTTAGTTAGGAATGCAAAGAAGGTATGGTATTGCTAGTCCCACTCGTCATCGCCCTTTGCTTTGATTCCCATGACGCCTGACAAGCGCAGTATAACACTGCCGTCTGGAAAGACGGAAAGGTGCCAATCAATCCTTCAGTCAATCAGTATGTTTAAAGATCAAATAACACTAGTTCTGTCTCGTCACTGTAAAGTCGGACACCTGTATTTCCCGTAATATTTTCTGTTTATAATCAGCATTATGGCTCATGAAAATTGTATTCGCCATCTTTGATGGGCAGTGGATTGTCAGTAGAGTCTGCTATCCATTGCGATTCAAGGACTTGTGCGACGGCAGAGGGGGGAAATTGCAAAATGGGGGCGGGGTGGGGGGGGGGGGTCACAAGGAATATAATATAACCTTTCATCAAGTGTTATGCAATTTTTTTTAATTGTGTAATGGACTTAATATCAAATAGATTTGAATGACTGGCAAATTTAAAATAAATTTATATATTATATATATATATATATATATATATATATATATATATATATATATATATATATGTGTGTGTGTGTGTGTGTGTGTGTGTGTCATGCACTGTGCTCGAAGATCTGGAACCGTGGCACTTGGCCTAAAGCGTGGAAAAGAACAGTCTACATCCCTCTCCCAAAGAAAGGAAATCCAAAACTATGCTCCAACTACCGTACCATCGCAATAATAAGCCATGCTAGCAAAATCCTCTTACGAATTATCATGAAAAGGATTGACAAGAAATTACAATATGAACTAGATGAAGCACAAGCAGGTTTCAGACAGGGTAGAGGAACTAGGGATCACATATTTAATATGAGAATAATTTTTGAAAAATGCAGAGGATACAACAAAGATCTTCATGCTTGTTTTATTGATTATAGCAAGGCATTTGATTGTGTCAAACACCACAAACTGTGGACTAAGTATGGGGTTTCCAGCGCATTTAGTGCATTTAATTGAAAATCTTTATCAGGAACAACAAGAAGCAGCTATAAGAGCAGCTGGTGAAACATCTGACTGGTTCGAGGTGCAAAAGGGAGTGAAGCAGGGGTGCATTCTCTCACCATACCTTTTCAATATATACGCAGAAAATATTATAAGAAATGTCAAAAATGCCCAGACCTTGACAGTTATGATCTGCTCAAAATTGGTGGCAACCCTATTCCGGGACTTCGCTACGCAGATGACACAGTCCTCCTTTCGAACAGCGTAAAGGGATAAGACAATTTAATATTGTCTGTCCAAAAGCACAGTGAAGATCAAAATCTGTTCTTGAATTCAAAGAAAACGAAAGTAATATCTACAGATAAAACTGGCTGTCACCCAAAAATAACAATAAGTGATGACGAAATTGAAAATGTAACAAATTCTGAATATTTAGGCACTATAATAAACAACAGTGGAGACTGTTCGACAGAAATTAAAAGGAGGATGGCCATAGCATTGCAAAGATTGAACAGCCTTAAAAGTCTATGGTTAAGCACCAGCAAGGAGAACAAAATTAGAATTTTGAGAGCATCCATCTTCCCTGTGGCTAAATATGAATGTGAGTCGCGGACTGTCTCTCAGTCCTTGAGAAAAAGAATAGGGGCTTTTGAGCTTAAATGTTATGGAAAGATTCTCAGAATATCTTGGACAAAGAAGATGAGAAATATTGACATCTTAAAAGATCTGAACATTATTGAAGATTGCCTAATAAACAGCATCCTTTCTAGAAAGCTGAAATATTTTGGTCATACCAACCGCCACAACGGATTGTAAAAAAATTATAGCAGAAGGCATGGTACCAGAAAGGAGAGGCAGAGGCGGACCGACACGAAGATGGGCACAGGATATAAGTGACTACTTGAATGTGAAAATGCATGAGGCGGGAGAACTGGCGAGAGACCGAGTTTCATTCAGGCAGACTGTGATGAGAGCGACGTTCTGAAATGGACCTGCTACATGATAATATATATATATATATATATATATATATATATATATATATATATATATATATATATATATATATATAAATTGCCTGATGAAATCACAAACATAATTAATTAAATGCTTCAGGGGTTGGTTCTGCAACGTCCTGTAAATGGCATGCCTATTAACTCATATTTGTTAACCTTAGACAAATCGTATATAAGACATTGTTGTTATAAATTTGGTTCCACACAGGAACATATTTCTGTGGTGAGAGGCCAATGGCTTATACCTTTTCGTGGCCCAGACGTTCGATAGACTTACTCGATGGCGATGACATCGATGCAGGTGGTGAAACTGTAGCTGACCCAAATCTGGACAAGATATTAGGTGGCACTTATGCCAGTTATGGAGACATCCCGTGGATGGCCACAATAACTTCCTACAATTGGCACTGGTGTAGCGGGGCTATTATAAGTAAATACTGGATAGTCACCGCTGCTCATTGTTTCTAGTAAGTACACATTAGTCACAATGTATTACAAATCAGATGGTATAGGAAACCTGTAGCTAGATGCTCGCCTAACGACCAGTTGGTTAAGGGTTCGTATCTGCATGGAGGATGATGTTTTTATAAATTTTTTAGGGGGTGGGGTGGGGGGGGGGGGGGGGGTTTGTTCAGTATTAACTTTTACATTTTCTTCTTTTTCTTCGCGTTCACCAGCTATAAATCCTTACGGAAAGTTCTATTTGTTCATCCACTTCTGGATTGCAGTCCTGTTCCAGAACCTGAGTGTTGCGTGTGCATCTGCTTACAGATCTGACTCATTTGTATGGAGACTGCCGTTTCCATGCCTCTCGGGCAGATGCACTCCGACTTCAAAGGAAGCTCCCAGATAGTGGACTCTTACGACATGCTTTTAGGTTGGCAATGGGTCTATTCTTGGTTTTCCTAAAATAGAGCCCCGGAACAAAAACAGGGATTTGACATTTCAGTATTGACATTTCCAAAATAAAATGTGAACTGGTAATATTCTGGGGAGTTACAGAAGATTATTGTAGAAAATTTGGTTCTATAATAATATCTTACCCCCAGATAACGTCACAGGACAGTTTGGAGGGTGGTAAGGCCGGGGTTGCCGGCTTTCTGATTCTTTTAACGACCCTAAAACATCTAGAACTGGCTCTAGCCACAACCCACCTACGTCCCACGAAAGAGTGCAGACTAGGTCCCACGACTGCATGCAGCCATCTCCAACGACTGCGTGCAGCCTATCTACATGCCCCTAAAATATTAGACTGCCCTGTGACCTGTGGATTTTCCCTGATTGGGGAAGGATATTATTAAAGCACCGAAAATTATATTTTGATACTTCTGCAAAAAGGCTTGGCAACTGCAACACATCACTCCCCCTCATCAGCACAATTTGTTT